TCTCGTGGTAATTCGATCCCCCCTTTTTATTCATCGCTAACCGTGTCAAATTATCTCTGTGATCTACGAAAGTAAACACAGAATTATCCTTCCTTTTTTTTATTTAGAAATGTATGAATGAGTATAGAAATCATTTTTTACGCACTATAACCTTCAAACTCAATATGTGACGTACTGTATCTCGTAAACGAGGTCGAATAGGACATAGGTTGATATGAACTTTTTTTTATATTTTTTAATACAATACAAATATTTTTAATACAATTTCCGACCTGAGTCTAATGGCGCGTCCACACTTGTCAGAATTGTTGGCGAACAGCTCGAGTTACAAAGTAAACGATGTTTCACTTTCTGAGCGAACAATGTTCGCTGTTTAAGATCCTGAAATTATCCACACTGTTATGGATAAAACTTATATACAATCTTTCTTTTTCCACCTATACTCTATCTCTCTTTCCTCCTGCCATAACCTAACCTCCAACAGTTCTTCTTTTTATCGCTCTCAACAGTTTCAAGGAAACAATACTTCTAATCTCCCCCTCCTACGTTATCTTTCCGTGCTTTTCGCTCAGGTACGAGTTAAGGAACCCCTCCTCGATGCTCCTCGAAAGCGACACCACGTCCCTCCATAAATCGTTCAGCAGCGCCACCCTCCTGCAGGAATCATGGGAAACGACAGCGGCTCGTGGTGTCACTGGCGCGAGGACCGTGGGGTGGAAAGCACCGTCGATTTCGTGCCTCAGTCGAATTAGTCAGGGCATTTAGCAGGCCGCTTCTTCTCGTCTCCTCGTGGTTCACGCGAACTCAGAGTACCGGGAATAGGAGGCGATCGTTCTACGACCAATTTAGGCGAGTTTCGTCGCCTTAGGAATAGAATACAGTTGTCAGCTGAACGACTAGAATTTCGTGGATGGCCGATGAATCACTTTCGATTCATTTCGAAGGAAATAACATATTTTTAATACTGCAGATTTTTTCCAATGCAAAGTGTTGTTCAAAACTTAATACTTCGAAAAAATTTTTAAATTTTGACGATAAAGTTTTGGTGTGATGTTAATGGTTAAAATTGTGTAAAAGAAATCCAATGGGGAATTCGTTCGTAATTTATTTTTGAATGGACAAAAGGATCAGGTACACGAGACTCTTTTTTATTTATAAAAATTTCTACAATAGAAAACTTTGTGTACAGGAGAGTTTTATAAGAATATTCCAAGCTTTGCAATACTTCCATCTTTCTCGATTCTCCTTTATAGTTCATCGAATTCACCCGCAAGTAAGAAGAATTCTACTAATCATTCTCTCGATTTACTTTCGGTTGATTTCGAGGACAGAACGATCGTCAGTCAGAGAAAAGAGAGGGGTGTCAAGTATAAGACGATTGTATCGAAGTTTCCGCGGCACCGCTGTTCGAAATTATTTTCTCATTAACGCGCCGACGGACGCAATAACGCCGTTCTCATCTCTCCACGCAGCCGGCGACTCGCGAGAATTAATTGTGCTCGTGACGAACGTTCGATCGTAATCGAATTCTCCCGATGATCGAGCGTTTCGGCCTTGATTAAACCAACCGTCCCCAAAAAATCCACAATAATTATCAATATGTTGTATCGGTTTATATTCTTATTATATCTTCGAATTTTCGTTTTGCCCATGACTTTAGCACAATAGCATCGTACGAAACCTTTGATATTATTTAATTATTTATTTAACCTACGGCCGTATAATAACGAGTTAGAGCTCGTGCCACAGATTTCGGTCAAGATCTAAAAAAAATTAATTTTAACTCTAATTTTTTATTTAATTTATAAAACTGAAGATTGCCAAATTTAATTAATCCACAATGCATTAGCTTTTCTTACTAGTAAATAGCTGACGCTTAGATGCATAGTCAGGAAAATAAATCACACTTGCAGGGGTTAATTAATTTTACAAATCAAACATTTCATGGATAAAATAAAATTCAATTAATTACAATCTGACAATTTCCTTATTTCTCAGTGTGTTCGCAACGAACGAAGTTTGACTTAAACCGTGAAATATTATGAACAGTGTCTAAATGAAGGTAGCCAGCTGAAGTCACAAAACGCAAAAACCTTCGTATCAAGTTCAAAGGAGGCGTTTTCCTGGTGAAACGGGCCGTAACATATTTCAGAAGGTAACAGCATCGCGGCGTAGATCTCACGGGTAGTCCGGCTTCTGCAAACAAGCGGGGATGTTTTGAAAGAGGAAGTTGGTCGATAACGTGTCGTCGGAACGGCGTTCACGGCACGGCGCGGCGGTGGTTCCGTGCACGTGTTCAAATCGGTATTAAGCGCATCGACGGCGCGGCGGAACAGTGCCAAGAGGCGAAGTCAAACAGACGTTTATCTAATGTGTAATGGCATAATTTGCGAAGGGGCTTAATCACATCAGTGTTACTTGGCCGTCCAGCAGAGTGGAATAAGCTGATCGTGTCTCAGACTTACTTCCCTATGCCTTGCCGTGTTCCCACCGCTCACCCGTTCGTCCGTGCCACCAAATTGCATTAAACCCGTCAAATTATTAGCGGCCCGCGAACCGTGATTAATCGCGAGTTTGCCAATTTTAAACAACTACCGTTGCAATTGTGACACGTATTTTGAACACGAATGATCGCGAATTTCGAATTTGAAATAAAAATTTTCAGTTTAACTCTTGGATTTCGAATTTTCAGTTCGAATTTTGAATTTGAATATGAATTTTGGATTTGAATGTAAATTTTCAGTTTGAATTTTGAGTACGAATATGAATTTTCCATTTAATTTTGAAATTTCGATTGTGCATTTAATTAACTTTATAAATTCCTCATTCGAGCAAACCTAACCTCTATCTACACACTTCATCTTCCATGTCACCGCCCGAAAATCCCCCAAAAACCCAATAAGAGACCCGAAAGCAACAGAAACAAAACAACTCGGTCACTTAAATATAGCCTTTTATCGAGCCACCCATATTCATCGAGCGCACCACACAGAAAGCTTCTTTTATCCCCCCCCCGAAACTCGGTCCAGTAAACAAATTGTTCTCCAAACGAGCCAGCAAAAGCCCACGTTCCCCGAACTCAAAGTTAGTAGCGTCCCCCTGGTGTGTCGTTCCTATAAACAAGTCGTCGTTCGGCGTTGAAATAACGCCAGCTGTTGGCAGCGTGCCTCTGTTGACATAACTTTGACAAAGTCGTTGACAAAGTCTTGGTTGCGGCGCTTTTTACGAGACATGGGCCATTAAGGCCCGATAAATCTGCCTTACCGAGCATCGTCGAGCACTATTTTCATCCGGCGTGAAAACATCGTGCTTTTCTACCCTTTTAATCTCTTTCTCTTTCTCTCTCTCTCTTTCTCGTTCGTGGCTGATTTGTACGGCTGTTTGTCAACCCGGTGGCCACCGCGAACAAACAAACGTTTCAGTGCCACCCGTTAGTGACACACGACCGTCCAAGCAGCACGCGCCTTCCTATGCGACGATTATTAATAGCCCTGCTCTCCGGCAGACTCTTTCCTACTACGCGACCTCAGGGATGCATCGAGCGAGATATCATCTCGAGCGTTGGCTGCGCCCGGAGGGAAAAATTTTCGGGGTGCCGGGTTTCAGCCGATGCTTGTCGCTGTGAACGCTGCCTGGCGTTGTTTGATCGGAATTTTGTCGAGGAAGAGAATGTTACGAAGGATTTTGAATTTTTTGCTTCACTGGTAGTTTTAAGGAACTTTTTTTTTTTTTTTTGTTCTACAGGGTATCACATTTCGTTGGAAGGAATTTTCATACAGCGATGAGTGATGGATTTAATGTGAAATTTAAAGGAGAACTGACGAACGGTCAAATTTGAAATTCAAATTCAAATTGGAAAATTGATTTCAAAATTCGAGTTATTTTTTAGTTGGTTGGTAGTTTTAAGGAATTTTTTACTCTACGGGGTGTTACATTATGATGTCAGGAATTTTCTTACAGTGATGAATTTAACCAGAAATTTGAATTCAAAATTTTTATTTAAAAACCAGTATCAAAACTAAAATGTAAAATTTAAACCGAGAATTTTAATTTGAAATTCGAACTCAAAATTCTGATTTTTAAAATTTAAAATAAAAACAATCATTTTCAAATTATAAATTCGGAATATTTCTACTACTCTCGTCATTCGGTTTCACTTCGTATTTTGAAATTGCTGTGTAAATTTGTAAGCGAGGGGGAACGAAGAAAGTTGGTCCGTGAGTGGGTTAACGCCTCGGAAGTTAAAGCTCCATGTGCTTTAGGCGCCGAGTCATAAGTATGTCGCCACGGAAAGTGAGTTTCGCTCGTACATCACGCGGAAGTGGATGACGAGTGTTCCCCAGCTTTCCAAAACCATATGCTATCATTGATCTAAAATAAGGCTAAAACCGTGTAGCTCGTCTTCCTAACCCTCGTTCCACCGAACTAATTTATGATCTAACCGGCGACGCGACATGCCAAACATCATGTGGGACGCGAAAAAATTATGTCGAACACGCTTTTTTCTGAACATCCACCACTGGAATAACAGCCTAACACTATATGCACGATCAGTCCAATGAAAATAAAATTTTGTATACATTTCATAGTTGAAACAAAATTTTACACAATCAACCAAAAGATGATTCCTTACGAAAAAAAATTAGTTAAAATTGCAAAATAAAATTTTTCTCCTGAAAATGGAACGTTTTTTTATAATTTGAATTTATTTTTTCATAAGAAATCACTTTACAGTTATACCATGATTACTGCGACATTCAAAACTTTATTAAATAAATTTTTATACCCAGTGATCGTGATACAACCAGCCAGAAGAGGATTCGTTACGAAAAACCTAATTAAAATTGCAAAATAAAATTTTTCTCTTGAAAAGGAAGCCTTATATGCAACATTTTTTCATAATTTCAACTTATTTCTTCATAAGAAATCTCTCACATTGTACCATGATTACTTCGACACCAAAAATCACCTGTCAACTCCGCCATTTTTGTTAATAGAACATGGCCGACGGTTTGCAACAGCGCGACCCCACGGACTGTTCGCCAAGGAAACTCATGAGGAAGATCGAGAGCTGCATCTTCAGGTAAGAGGAAGACATATATGAAGGAAAAACGTCGGTGAAGGGAATCGAATCGATCGAGATCGGTTATACACATAATTTCTCGAGAAAAAGGGGGTTTGAAGGGTCGAGGATCGTTGACCATACTCGCAGCCTAAAGGCATTCGTTGATTAGCAACCGAGGAGGGATTTTAATTAGCTGCGTTTGCTCATCGCAAACACCGGCCAATCTGGCTCTCATCGCGCGCTTCTGTCCGTCGGTAGCGTGATTTCAAAGTAAAAATTACGGCTGGACGCTTTGACTGTTCATCATGATAGGTTAATATAAAGTTTTCTCGTCGAGTCTACCTGTTTTATGGACTTGCAGAGAAGTTAGGGAAGTCAGTACTTTGTGATGGACGATTCTAGAAAATCCATTTTTTTGTTATTGGGAAGAATTAGTTTTATTTAAGTGCTTAATTGGTCGTTGAGTAGGCTATTTTCTTATTGAGTGTTGCTGTTTTAATAGGGATTTCATTTGGAATAGAAAGTGAAATTTTTTTTAGAATTTTATTTGTACCAATTTGTACCATAACCTTAACTACAAATGTCATTTAATGTTATAATACAATGTAACTATTTCAACAGTATCTAGCCACACATACAAAATCATGTATCTATCACAAGTAATCTTACAAAATCACTTTGTGTCTAATTGAAACGAGGAAAATTCCCATTTTGTCCTCATATGCTTAGCACGGTTACAAATCGTCAACCGACCACGAGAGACCTCCACATTTGATTATTTTTAAAAGCACCCAGAATAAAGTCTCCAAGTCGTTCAATCATCCCATCCATCCCGGTGATCGCGACTCGTTCTCCACAGGGACAAGAACCCTTTGACACGAGCAAGCTCATTACGATCGAATTCCTGACGCTTACGAACACTCGAGACAGCGACACGGTCGAAGGAGACATGCGCAGTAGAACGGCGCGATACTGGGGTGGGGAGAAAAAGTGTCCATCGGCCGGTATTTCTGGCGCGTTAGGGCCCGCGTCACACGCGCCGTGACAAATGAGACGTTGTCGTACGTTTGTTCAAATTACTGCCGGCATTCCGCTCGCCTGGCCACTCAACGAGCTTTGAAATATTACCCTCGTCACCTCTAGCCGTTTCCTGGGCCCGCGAAAAACCGCCTATAACGGTCGTCGATCCTCTTTCCGCTTTTTGTCACGTTACAATGTTAGTCGCCAGTCGCGAAACGCGCTACTGAGTTCTTGCTAGCCATAAAATACTCTTCTTTTGTGTACAGGCTGATTCAGAAGTGTCACACATAGTGTCTATTCTCCCTATTTACGTAGTTAAACTGATGTTATCGAAGAGTAATTAATATTAGTGTGTTTTATTGGTAGGTTGAAAATTGACAGTTTGCATCTTTAAGGTTAGGTTGCTGTGTGTTTGCGTTTAAACTCGGAGAGCACATTTAGGGTATTTATTACAGAACTGACCTATGCACAGATAACATTTTGCGAGCTTGTGTTTCGTTTTCATTTCCAAGAAGTCGCTTGTGATTTTATTATGACAACAGTGAAACTTTGAACTGTTGCAAGTATCCAAAGTGACATTTAACATTCGTATAACGTTTATATAACCTTTGCAAGTAACGTAAGAAAGTTTTTCACGTTTGTTGTGAATCATCCTGTATACAGTGCTAGTTTTAGTCGCACGATTCGTTCACGTTTGCGATTTGACACGAGTACGAAGCGTGACTGCTTTTTTCTTTGGTGCTTGGTGAGTAGAAAAGTGTGTGGGGGGTAAGTCATCTAGGATGGACTGGAATTTCAGATCTTTCTGCTGGTTTTAGTGACACTAGAGTGAGATAGAAAAGAGATGGCTTTTGCGAAATTTTATAAGACATTACATATGTTCAATATTCGATAAAAATATGTCAAAATAATGGGAAAATTACATTTGCCAGATCTCACCAGATTAACCTATAGAATTAAATCACAAAACTAAAAAAAAAAGGAAAAAAATAGAAATACATACCATCTAAAATTACATTTCATCTCGATTGACCATAATCTCCACGCGAAGCCGGATAAAGAAGCAACAGTGGAGAGGAACCCACGGAGTAATTCCTGTCCATGACGAGACGCGTACAGATTACAGCGTGACGCGATGTCAAGAGTCATCTTTCGTGATGCTCGTGTTTCTTGTCGGCGACAAGTAATCTGGAATCAATTTCTAGCTCTCTTGCTGCTAGCCCTAAGGAACTCCGCCACGTCCATTGAGAGTGAATGAGTCTCTCTCTCTCTCTCTCTCTCTTCTTCTGTGTGTGTGTGTGAGACAGAGTGTCTCTCTCTCTCTCTTTTTCTGTGTGTGTAAAAGAGAGAGAGTCATGGGGGACGCGACGACCTTTTTAGAGACGGAGGATCATTAATCAGCCGGTTTTTAGCTCGAAATTCCCTCGCGCCTAGTTTACAAAACGAGGGTCGTCGAAATCGCCCCGTCACCCACGACAAGGGTGCTGCTTTTTGTACTTTCACCGAAGACCTGCCTTCCTCCTCCTCGCGCGATCGCTTCAGGTACGTGTAATCTCGCTTGTCTCACGCGATCGACTTGTTCTCGATTACACACGCGGAAGTGTATGTTTATATTTTGAGAATTAACCCTCCGTACACAAACATATTTTCTTACACTCCATAGGTCTAATTTTTTTACTGTTCTAGGATTTAAAGAAATCTGAAAAAATTCTAAGTTACTTATCAAAGTCTATATTGCATTATACATTATATTTAATAATGTGTTAAATGAAAAATATTGAGATATTACATATACTTTCTATTTAACAACCCTCAGACTTGTATATTGAAACTAAAGTTACAGTCAAAGTGAAAGTTTACTACAAACAGGTCTCGTTTTTGTAATATCTTAACCATAACCTACACATAAGGGGTTAATGATATTTCTCAACGATACAACAGTATTACCAACAGAATAAAAAATACATTTTTGCATTATAACAATATTTGACCAACCGCATTTCTCAATTCCCCCATTTCGCCTAACAAACACTTCAATCAATCAACATGCCACAATATGCACAAAAATTTAATAAGCTATAGTCCTTTGAAAAATCTTCCACCCCATTGTGTGTCGTTTTTAATAAATAAGATTCTCATTCGATAAACACCTGTACGCGATATCTCTGGCCCAAGATCTCCAAGGTGTACGTTAGATACGTATCGGTATAGTCTACTGACAGCATTGACATTTACTTCCATTGCTGGTGCATAAGTAAGACAAACGTGGTCCATGTGTTCGTTCATGGGAAAATCTGTCGATTTCTCTCTGTCTTGTGTAAACTACATAATAGAGGTCGTGTAGAGTGTTGATTTAAAAGGTTGTTTCTAACATTCATCGCTCCCTTGTTTTAATACATAATGTAACGTCTGTTTTAGTACTGCTCGTAAGTTTCAACTGGTACCTATACGCATTGGGAAGAGTGATTACTCGTTTTCGTACCTCGTTTGCATACATTTGCATTATTCGTTGCATGTCATTAGCTGTTTTAATCGCGTTTCGTTGTGTGTAACACATTTAACCCCCTTGTTAGAGCATGTTTGTTTTGGTGTTTTAGGTTAGGTGTACGTGTGTATTAAGGATTTATTGCTCTGACTGTTGTGGTAGCTGGAAAAATGAGGTCAGAATTTTTATTTCTTGCAACTGTTATCGCTGTTTCAATATACAGGGTGGTTCGTTTATCTGTTGCATTAAATTTTACTAAAGGACATTTCGATATATTCTGTTCTAAATTCATTTCATAACAAATGTAACCCATTTGGTCGTGTCACTTACTTACAAATCGAGCAAACATTCCAACAGAAGGGGCAGATTTTTGTTTCCCAACCTCCATCGATCAGTCGCTGTAATTGATACCGCCTCTATGAGACGAATGTTAATACGTTCAAACATAAAAAAAACTCGAAAACAAATTGAATCATCAGAGTTGCATTCGTGCAGCAGAAGGTTGCCAAGAGATTTCTCGACCTTGTTCTTGTAATTAAGTCCTTCAAACATTCATTTTTCTTTCGAAATTAACCTCGTTAGACCGTAAAACGTATACGACGCGCGATCACGTGACACTACCGATAAAACATGGCGGCATGTCTGCTGACAGCATGTAATATTGTAGAACCCACCTGACAGAGGGATTCAGCGCCCAAAAATAATAAAAAAAGTTCATGTAAACGTGTTTCCTACTTATCCTTGTTTCTGATTTATAAAGTATTTTGTGTTGTAATAATTTTCTAGACGAAATTGGTACCACTGTCATGCGTACGATGTGCTCGACTATTCTGTGTAACTTTCGCTGAGGCGTTCAGTTCGTTTCTTCAACGAGAATTAATTTCAAAATTATGGTGCGAAAAAGGAACGTAATTATGTTTATTAAAGGAATAAAATGGTATTTATTGAAAATTATCATTATTAATAAATATATTGCAAGAGAAAGTATAATTTTTAACGAGAAGTTTTCTTATTACACGGGCTTGCTTGATCTCTGCGCTCGAATCTATTGGATTTTTACTTGTCAGAACGTTGAAAATCTTTCGTTTATGAAAGGAATATTGGCAACGTTGAAGTACTTCATTGTGCGCTCGAATCTATTGGATTTTTACTTGTCAGAACGTTAAAAATCTTTCGTTTATGAAAGGAATATTGGCAACGTTGAAGTACTTCATTGTAGAATTGAATAACGTTTCCAATAAATTTGAGTGACAGTTAAAATTATCGAAAGAGTGACAAGACCAACAACATGACGTCTGCAGATATATTATACTTTGAAATGTGAGGTTAACCGTTTCGAGCATCTCCTGTGTAGGTAATCTGACACCGTATAATATAACACAACAGTCGCTGTATATCGTAAACAAGCCCAAACGCAACGCGTGTTTACTTCAACTTTTTCGACCTTTATCCATGTTTGACGTGAGCTTCACATATTATGAAAAAGCCTGTATATGAATAAGCCTATTAATAA